CACTTCGGATAATAAGCGATGCGCTTCAGCTGCGGTTTTCTTGAGATCGAAGTAGTGAAGAAGCACATGTCGGAAAAACAGCCTATCGCTATTCATTTTCAATCGATTGGAAAATCTCTTTGGCGTCGATTCACTTTCAGCGATGTTCTAAACTACAAACGACATATGACTTCATCGTCGAAACTCGCCAGCGTTGGAGCCAGCACCCTCTAGTAGCGAGCGGCAGGAATTAAGTTTAACACCTAATAGCAAAGCATTAAAAGATTGTAGAAAGTCAAACTCTTAAAAATTATTAGCAAGTTATTAAAAAATGATGAAAAAAAGGACAAATTTGAGAAAAGTTAATCATCGGAAATTAATCACGCAAAAGAATTGTTAAAGTTAGAGAATTAATAGATTTGTGAATTTATCAAGAGAGACGAAAGTTCAATGATTTACTCTCTCGATAAGAGGAGAAATATGATGAAATAAAGATGACAAATTAAAAATTTCAACCTTTATAATTGGGTTCTAGCTTTATTCGCTGTTTCCTTACTTCTGTTGCACATTATGAGCAAAATCTAAAAAGAAAAGACGAGATAAATTATATAACTATTGCTATATATTTACAACATAGTTTCAGTCTTTACAAATAACTGTTGTATAATTGACAGCTATTCACAAACGTAAAATATCGATTTACGTTCTTAACTCTTTGTTTTGTAAAACTATGATTTCACACTTATTACGATTAAAAAGATTGAAGAGGGATAAATGAATTAATATAGTCATTGAGTCCATTAAAACTTTGTAATTTGTGCGATTAGCATGACGCATATACATTCATGTATATACACATCATATGTATATTTATATGCATTAAATATAATTTTACTTAAAACAAAGTTACTTTTTTATTAAATGCATAGAAAACTTGCTGCTTTTATTTTTCAACTTTATTGATATATGTAGAATGTAAAACAATATCGAGCGATATGTTTGTTTTTCGTACACGGCACATATGTAATAACGTTAAACAAAATATCCTGAATTTGACGCGAATTATAGATCATCTAAAATGGGCTTAACCATTAACAAAATTGTTACAAATAAATAAATTATGTCGGAATGTGTAGACGTAGACACGGAGAGCAATCAGTTTATTTATTTATTTAACATAATCAATTTATTATTTAAATAGATTTATGAAATTAACGTACCCAACCGACTTTTACATTCGTGTTATATAGGTAATAAAATTATCGCACTTAAATTTATCACACATAAAATTACAAAAATCTGTGTAACCTGTGTAAAAACTTAACAGGTCTCCATACAACACACTTTATTCGAGAGATATTTTGGGAACATCCTTAGAAGGTTCAAAATACATAGAGACGTCTTCTGGACGTCTTTAGGACATTTCTTGGAGGTCTGTGTTGTATGGAGTCGTAACAGCTGCCCTAAAGAAGAACGTGTATATGGAAAATATTACGCTATCGGTACAACAAATACATTGCTTTATCAATTTTGAATTTATATTGCGTATATGCATAAATTACATCTCAACGTTTATAGTAAATCTATTTAAGATTGATAAAAAACGATTATACGCTGATATAAAGCTTTTTTTTGATAAAATTTCTTAATCATAATGTTAAATATCACGCGATCAGTATGCTTGTTACGAAACTTGCGCTAAGAAGAAAGTAGGTCACATTTTGAATTTTTCAGAAGTTTTAAATATTAAAATAGAGAGAGAGAGAGAGAGAGAATTGGAAACTAATCTACTTAATAATGCAATATGAATATCTGTAATGCGCATATTCTTTTCACGCTGTCGTCGTAATCTGTTTAAGTACGGTTTCTACTAGTATACCCGAAATAAAGGATATATATACAGCTTTTTTAAATAAAAATTTGTGTATCGTGATATTTCATCTAAATACGATGCTTTTGTTGCATAATGAACGTTTTTAAACGAATACTAAATTAAAGACGGAGAAAAAAATTACAACAAATTATATGTATATGTATATATCACACAAACACACACACTAACACACATACATACATACATATACAATATATATTACATGTAATTAAATTATTCACTTAGAAAGGACTTTATAGCAAAGATATTGAAGAGAAATCTTCATTGTACGTATTTCTAAAAAATAAGGTTCTTAAAATAATGTCCTTTTTAAAATGATTGCATTAATTACATGTCGTCAAATCTTAAAAAGAAAACTCTTTTAACTCTTTTGTTAGATACTATTTTCATCTAAAAATTGTTAAATTAAAAATAAGCTGGTAGCTATCCTTCATTCGGAGTATCTCTACATCTTGAGAATACTTGAAACAAGATCTACAAGCTGCAGTAAGTGAAGTCATGGATGGCAAAGAGGAAGTCTCAATAAAGTGCTTTATTTACACCTTGATGCAGTATGAAGGTGATAACAGTTAGCAGTTGCGTAGGATTTGAGAAATATAATTTAGAATCCTAATTCATTCTCACGGGATACTAAAATTCCGGAACAAGAGTTCTGTTGCACATTATTTTGGAGAAGCATTCTCTATATCTCTAATAAATCACTATCATATTGTCATCTTTGCTAAATATTGAGATTCTTGATCATCTTGAAATGTAATGAAAGGTGATTCACCGCGGAATCTTCGTACACTTTGAGTTTCAACATACCGTTTAATCAGTATTTGCTAATGAATACCAATTGCCTTTGGTATCCTACTCGTAAAACAAATTCGCTAGCGCTTTTATCAGCAACGTGACCAGCATTTATCGCAGCGACTTTAAGGTATTCTTTCAGTCCTTTCTTTTTGTGATGAGGTATTATTGATGTATCATACGACTTTGTATTAAAAAAAAAAAAGGATCACGTAAATCGTGAGATCACAACTGTTCGGATTCGAAGGCCGCGTTGTCTATGCCGTTCATCATTTCGGTTTTCTGTGCGTTCTTCTGTGTGTCCACGATCCGAGGAGTTGATGCCTTCAAATTATAATCTGTCGCATCCTCGTTTTTATGATTCATCATAGCTTCGGGTTCTTTCTGCTCCTTCAGCATGCGATCCTTTCGATGTTCCGTGTACAACCAGCTGAAACAATTAAGAAATAACTTAACGTCATACAATCGCAACTTGCAAACTTAATTCAATTTTTATTACAATTTGAGTATAATGTTTCATGGGAAGATCGTAGTGTTTGGCAAACGTAATATATCATTAACGTAACATATCACATTATAATCGTGACTTGGTCATTCTACTCACAAGAATGCAAACACCGCGGGCATTGTCATGCATCCTCCGGCGATGAAGAACGTCCCCGGAAACGTATTCATGGTCGCCGCGTAAATGGCGCTGTACATTGGCCCATAAACAAGCGGCATCAGGGACTCGCATACGCCAAACAGCGAATTCACTTTACCTACAAAATTACGTAACGTGTATGTCTTAGCTTTCGGATAGAGAATAAAAATTGCGTTGAATTTTCCTTGCTATTAACCGGACAGGAAGGCCTCGTTAGACTTTGTTCGTGATGGAAAAATTAGTAGCATTGCCACGTAAATGTAATTTGGTGTCCAAATTATCCGATTTACGCGATTTCTGCGAAACACGCTGCTTCGTAAGGTAAAGACTGAGCTCAAGTCGAGAAACATTTCTAAGGGGCACTAAAGTATTAATATAATGATAATGTAATTCTTTTGTTTGAGTTCATTATAAAGACGCTCATTTATTTTATGCGCTTCTACGGAGAGCTGCTCTTCTAAATATGAGAGATATATGCATGTATCCGTCTGACGTTATCGCAGCTGAAGCATCTTTATTTTCTGTGGAATTTTACACAGGAAGTGTACCGATTCGCAAATTGAACGCTTCCAAGAAGCTCATGTGATATACACTAGTACATACTATAGTATATACTATAGTATATACTTCAATCACATACAATTATACATAACATACGAAGTTTTATAATGCTTTATTTTTTTCTTGAAATCATAAAACTCTGAGGTATAAAAATATAATGGCATAAGGAGAGAGAATCTTTTTTTTTTTTTTTTATTTATATTCTCTTACCGAGCTCATCAGTGGGCACGAGTTTAGAAGCTATCGATCGCATGGCGATGAAAGATGTGCCGTTCACGATCTCCACAATAGCGGCTGAAATAAGTAATTGATTCGTTATTAGATACACTCGCGTCGGGACTGGGGCTATACTGTGATATATATATTTTATATACGTAGTTGTTACCCTGATGTTAGCCGTTTTAAAAAGACTGACCTACGTAGACCATCCAGGCGGACGTGGCGAACGCGTAAACGAAACTTGCTAAAATTTTACTCGTGCAGCTCATGATACCCACGATCGCGTCGTCTATCTTGAGAATGTGACTGAAGATACCGACGGAGATCGCGGTACCTGCGTATCAGAGGGAAAAATCTTTTACTTTTTCATGCGAGACGAATATCGGACGATCGCACGAATAATAATTCTAAAGGATTAGTAAGCGGACGAGCGCTGTAAAATTCCAGGTGATCCGTTAGTCAAAAGAAAAAAATTGTAAGAAAGTCGGATTTTGCGCGTTTGCAAAATTTATAGAATAATCTACATCGACAAATAGAAAGTTCTTGCCGAATAGAAAGTCAAACGAAGATAGCCATACGGTATTCAAATTAGGGCTGGTGATTTGGTTCGAAGGCTTCGACATTCGTGAAGATTGAAGTTTCGAAACTTCAAAGAATCAAAATTATATAATTAATAGTAACAAATATATTTTCACTTAAAAATATGTAAATATTACTATGAATATATTTTCATTTTTACTATTTACACAAATATATTTTTCGAAACTTCGACGCTTTGAAGTTAACTTCGAATTTCTATATTTTGGCATCTTTTAAGTTCAAAGTTAACTTTGAAGATTCGAATTCTTTTGAAGCTTCAAATTTTGGAAACTATCAAAAGTAACAGTCCTAATTCAAATAGGGCAAACATTAAAGTGTCACGTTCGTAAGATACAAATTCTAACAGATTTTATCTTGCATGCACGCCATTGGCAATTTGCCTTTCTGTTGCAAAATATTCTTCTAATGTTTTCTACTTTGTGCTACCAGTTGACTGCTGCAACAAGCGATTGCATTTTCAAGGCAATTCCTACCTTCTATAACCAGCTAGAATAAAAGCTACAGTTGATGATTCCGCTTAGCAACGATATTCATTCTTACATAAGATACGTCTCCCGTTTGCTTTCATCGACCCATGGACGCAAAAAGCCTTGATTAACCCGATGTATGTACAGCATCATTACGAGAATAGAGCTAACGGATACCTTCGATTTGCGTGAAACGGCAATCGGAGGAGATTATCTGCTCCGACCGACTCGTACGCTGCGTCCGCGTTTCTACACGAAGCAGAATGTACATTTCTACTTCAAAATTAGTAGTTAGATCAGTGAATGAACCGGAAGAATTCATTGCGCATAAACGATTGTACGAGCGCTCGCTTATAAATTTCTATTTTTTTTTCTCCCTCTCGCTCATTAATTAACGTGCGAGACATTTTCAAGTGATTTTCTTACCGATCAGATTAGTTACCATGCCAAACGTGGAGAACATGCTGAACGTCACTTCGTTCCAGTTGTATCGGAACCGCATGTAAAGATAGAGAACCGCCATTTCGCCTGTGAAAGAAACAAAAACTTGATAATACCACTCGTTCTTGTTGCGTAATCGCTGTCTATCTCTATCTAATTATAAGGCACCATGAATCAATCAACGTGTGCAATAATAAAAACTTTGACCTGACTCGCGGTAAATTATCCTCCGATCTATAAGTGAGAGCTATTAAGTTTTATACTTGATATTTATTTATTGAATATACTAACGAGTATATTCTTGTCAATAATTCCTTTGATGTATCTAAGAATAGACTTGTGCACAATAGATTATCTCTTAGACTGTCGGTTCTTAGAAAAGTCTTGATTCGTGATAGACTCGCTATTGTGTTATTTATTATTGAATATTTATAGAATTCATTGACTCAAGTTGAGTTAATAATTAACTCTGGTTATGAATAACCATTCTTCGGCTTGTTTATTTAATTAAAGATAATTTTTAAGATTTACGGATTTTATTTTTGCTTCGAGTCTAAGCATCTTTTCACGGTTTTAATTATAATTGCTGCTAATATAATTTGTAACTAACACGTACTTTGTCACGGTACGTAAATAAATTATCGCTATACTCACGGTTGACTTGAGGTAACATATCGTATTTTGCGAGGTCATTATTGTTAAATTTCATGCTGTATAGCTATGGAGATATTTTGCAGATTCACCCAAGCGCAACGGTTTTCTGTTCAATTACTAACGATTTTCACGATTACATCGGCTGCAATTAGACCGACAATTGCTTCCTGTATAAGTAATGCCAAGTTAACTATGAAGGTCAAACGCAATGTTACGTAAAACGAATTCTCTTTTCCAGAAAAGAGAAGACATATTCAGTAGAGAAGTGTGCAGCTGTCGAAGATATATCTAAGTGTCTTCAGCCTTTTAAAATGCACGCGCGTGCATTCTGGCGACGCGCGTTTTCCCATGAAATTGCACTGACATGTTTATACGATTGGTACGTAACGTGAAAAGTTACGGATTCCGTAATTCATCCCGCATTAAAATTCGTCGCACGTTCTTTGTGCCGATGCGGTATCCTCGATGCCGCACACTCCACTCAGGATTATAAAGAAAATATACTACTGTATAACGTAATAGTCGCTTTCACCGCGTATCTCTGACAAGCAAAGATCTGAAATTACATCGTGAATATATAGCCACGTTCGCGAATCGCGTTAGCATGCATGCTGATGGAAATTGCGTACAAATAAGCGTGTAATATTGCGTGCGCTTGTACCTTAATATATTTTACGTATATACGTCTATAATTTTGAAATTTCAATATTAAATTATCATAAAGAAACAAGTAAATCGACAGATAAATAAAGCCTCTATTAACGTTCTAGGGCAAGCTCTTTAAGAACACACAAGCAAACAAATAAAAATTAATGATTACAAAGAGAGAAAGTACTCTACAGTATAATTTGAAAATTACTTCATTCATTTGTCAATGTATTCTAAATGTATGTAAATTTTATATCTGCCTATTTTATGATTGCATTTATTATGTATATTGGAACTAATTTTATGTATGCGTATAAATTTGCGTAATTTTTCTTGTTCTTATCCGAATAAGCAAAATGTGTCGAATTACGTAAATATTATTTGTTAATAATTAACATCGATTACAGTAAAAAGACCTTAAAAGAAATGATAAAACCGTGTTAGTAATTAAATAAACCTCTATTAGATATTTTTTCATTAACTTGAAATTCGAATGTAAAAAAGGTTGCTTTAGTCTCTCTATATTTGCAACTGCCGAATCTACATGCCGATCTTGTATACTCGTTCGCGCTACAACATTAAGTCGTCAGGATAAATTATCGCGCTTACAAGACGTCACCGAGCGACTATGACGACAATGAGAGAGTCGAGAAAAGTAACGTCTCAAGAAGAGTCTTACAGGTATATCCGCGTTACAGCATTCGAAATCAGGAAGACGCCCATTACACGAAATTGTTATAAGCGTGACGACTGCCCGCGTCACTTAGCAGCTGGGGTAATATGTGCTAATGCGTACCCAGACATTGTAACGACGGGGCTACCTATATAATTAAATTGTGACAAGGGCATCTGCGAAATGTGCTGGAATTGTACGTCGTCGCTGTACGAGCGCGCACGATCGCATTAAAGTCGCGATAGCGCGCTGTAACAAATGCACGCTAATTGAAAAATTGAATGATTCGTGTGGTCGCGTGCTTGCACGGGCTACTAGCAGAAACTGGAGGCTTTATTGTTGCCGATACCGTCCGGCACTGAGACTGGATGCTGGTACTAGCGCTGGCATCTGTATCGATATCGTAAATTTTTATTTACGAGCTCCCCGTCTAACAAACTCCGAGGTATGCGTTTATTAGAAAAGGTTGTAAGAATTGTGTTGTTTCCATCTTTTATAAAAACTTTTTCCATATACCGAAAAAATCTACTTAAACATTTATTTGTGAGATATAATGTTTATTTTATTGAAATAAATCTTTATTTAAATACTGCGTTCTCTCCTAGTAAATAAATTCCTAGTAAATAAATCATTTTACTCTTTGCAATTAATAAGATACACATTTCACAGAAATGTATATTTTGTCATCACAATCAAATTTTTTTATAACCAATAAATGTCAAAGAAAACATCATATGTGCAACATTTACTTGCAAATATTTCGACTTTTTTTTTCTCAGTGTATAGAAGCTAACGATGTAATAAATGTTTGTTGTTTTGCTTGTTGAACTTTTGGTCTTTGCAGATTTATAACGTCTATACCTTGTAGATTACGCGCAATATCAGTGATTCCGAATGCCAAGCAAATGCAGTTGCAGTAAAATATTTTATTGACGCTTTAAAATACGCGGATTATTTGGATACCTCAAGTAACGCTACACGTTCGCGCTCGTATAATGTGTGCCTAGTTTTACCATATCTTCTCTTACTTTCCCCTGGCATACGATGTATATTCACACCGTCGGACGTAAGTAATTACTGATGGGAATGCGCACAGTTACCGCAACACGGTAGCAAGATTAACGAGAATTACCGTGAGTTTTTATCGTACTACGAACGCACGTGAGAAATGATGGATGCATTTTATTTTCAACTGTTTTCCAGTGGTTTTACGATTTTTTTTTTTATTGTGTGAGAATTAAATTGTTTGCATATTTGAGTTATTATATGTTTATTTCTCATACATTTATGAGCTTTTTCTGGTTTACATAATGCGAATAAATAATAATTGTAAACATTTTTGCTTATATAAGATCGATTCAATGAATGAATAATATCATACAGTTATATGAATATTATATATAAATATATATTGCTATATATATATATATATATACAATAAATATATACAATTTTAATTGAGAATAAAACTTTATAAGTTTTTAAGGGTGTATTAAGTATGAAGAATATATGAAGTATATAAACACTTTTTAATAAAATAAAAAAAATATAAAAAAGTTGCAGATTTTTTAATGTTAAAATGCAAAAAATTCGACGACAATTTAGAACTTGATTCAACAATTGTTTCAATAATTAAGAGGTAAACATGTTACAAAATAATAATTAAAATAAAATTTGAGAAAAATTTTATGTAAATTATAAAATTGTATTATTAAATATAAATATTGGCCCTATTAAACTGTCTCATATACATAATATTTATTTTTATATGGAAGATATAAATTGCTTATTTTAATCATGTTTTGCAGAGACTAAACAACCTGATACATCCTTAACAATAATAGTATTATTAGATCACACTGTATTAACAACTCATTATTTACGTATTTGTAAAATTGAATATTAGATTAAGCTATAATTTAATTATCGTGAAAATTGAAAATAATTAGAAAAATTACTGAAAGAAAATGCCATGTGAGTAACATGTCTGAATTATACACCTGCAATTATAACATCTTGAGTTATACAGAAAATCTATTGTAGTCTGCTTGTAATTCAGAATTCACACAGGGGTATTATTCGGTGTGAGAACTCAAGATTTTAATTATCATAATTAAAATCAATTGCAGAGTTAACAATAAAAATTCAATTAAATACAAAAAATATTTCTTTTTCATTAAAACGGATCTTAGTACTTAAACACATACTTTTGTGTGAATTTTTTTTGTATATACACTCTGATTCTGCATACCGCGCGCCGAAATCTTTTTGATTGGTCTTGAAATGCACTCATGAGCAAAACCGGAATAGTAATATCATTTATTAAATTGTACAAATAATTTTTGGTTGCTAATAAGCATCTTTAATAAGAATGTTTACAATCAGATGTTAAAGACAATGTTAAATCTGTGAAAGATATTAGGACCTCGACCGGGGATTGAATCCGAATCTCTTGCATTCCGTGCGAGCGTCCTCACGATTAGACCACCGAGGCTTCGACAATATTCATCACAATAACCAATAACTAGTAAATAAACGTCATTTCAAAGTGACGTATATTAAACAATATATATTGAGAAGTAGGACAATAAGAACAAATCAAATTAAATACGAAAAATGCTTATTTTCAATCGAAGCGGATTTTAATGCTTAAATACATACTTCTGTATGATTGAATGAATTTGTGTGTAAATGAATTTATATAAATTCACATATGTATAGAAGTTAATAAGAATTAATTAATAAGTGTGTGTGTGTGTGTGTGTTGTTAATTTCTCAACATATATTGTTTAACATACATCACCTCGAAGCACGATGTTCATTTACTAATTATTGATTATTGTGACAAATATTGCCGAAGCCTCGGTGATCTAACGATCTAAGAACAAAAAGTTATTCACATAACGTTATTGTCGTAAATAAGACGCGTTACATGCAACTGTCGAATAACCTTGCTTAACACTTGGGGAAACATTTCTTTAAAGGCTCTCGATTTATTCGGGCTATTTACTCACCGTAAAGGGGCCCGATCACAATCATAACAACGACCATGAGCACGATGACCCTTTTCTGGCGATTGTTGGCCCCTTTCTTGAACGCCACACGAAACGTCTCCTTGATATGCTTCAACGAGAAGAAGTCCAGAACAAAGGCGCACAACGAGGTCCGCTTACCCTCGCTTGGAAGGGACTTTTTTCGCGCGCGTTCCGTGAGCACCCTCGACGGTTCCTTGATAACCACTAGACCGTACACAAAGCTCATTATGTAACACACCATCGCGATACTAAAGACACCATAGAAACCCAGCTTTGTGTAAAATATCCCTGATAAGGCCATGCCTATTGGCACGCCCAAAGACAGGAAGACGTTGGCCGCGCCAATCCTAAGTGTTCTCGATTCCACGGTTGTGATGTCCGCTATATAACTGAAGATACCCATAAACATGGTAGACCAACCGCCAGCTAACCCGGGCCACACTGACTCCAGTACAACCACCTCCATGGGTAACTCGTAGAACCAGTAAGTGCAAGCAATGAGGGTAACACTACTGAAGAACTCGCCGATGATCGGAAGTAGCATGCAAGGCTTCCTTAGGCCAGTGCGATCGCTCCACGCACCCATAAACAGGATCAGGATGGTCGGCAGGGCGCTCTGCAGCGGCGTTTTCCAGGTTTGCATACGCGCCACCATCTGCTGAACTGCGAGCTCCTCCGCCTCGTAACCGGTGGTGTTCCTGGCGGACAAAGCTGAGCACACCTCATCTGGATAAGCCAGGTTCACTCGGCAGGCCTTCTCGAGGATCAGATTCTGGGTGGCCAGCTGGGAAAGCACGCTGGGAATCACATAGCACGCGACCATCGGCTCGACGGTGATGTTGCTGGTCAAGAAAGACCATTTCTGCCGGATGCTCATGGACTTCCAAGTGACGGCGCTGTCAGACTTTTCGGGAATTGATTGTTTCTTCTCCGATGTGAGCCCCGCGGGCGTGCCGATCGTTGTCGTGATCTCTGACATATTTCACGTCAAAGAAGAAATAGGATTGAACTGATTTCTTTTAGAAAAATCACAGTCTCTTTCTATTGTCCAGGTATAATACGATCGGCTGAAGAGCATCAAGCTGCCTGTAGCAGTCCAAGGAATGGCTCGCGAAATGCCTCGAAGGCGTCCAGATTTTCGTTCAGGTTGTTCGGCGCGCGCTCGAGAGAAATCGCACGGTGGTCCCGCGACTCCCGGCTAATGCACCATCGTGCATTACGAGACGCGGCGGTGTTATCTGTCTCCTTCCTTCGCTGGTCACCAGCAGCACCAGCACCAGCGTACCTCGTACCACCTCTTTCCCGGGCCGCGCTGTCACCGCTCGCTCACCGCTCTTTCCTATGATCGGCCTCCTGCAGCGCACAACGAGTTGATCCGCCTTCGTGTACATCCACTTAGGGACTAAGCACACGCGGTGGCCCCTCGGGGCAACGTCGCCGACGTTCGCGCTTAATCGGTTCCTCCGCGGTGCACGACACGCGGCTAATGCTCCACGAGCGCGATTACCAGCGCTCCCGCGAGTCGCTTCCGATTCCGCCCCGCAGGAGTTTTCGGGTCAAGGTCAGCCTCCGACGACGGTGCGACGGTGCCCGAGGCCTCCGGGGGTCCTCCCGCCGCGCTCCCTGAATCCTATTCTTCCTCGGCGATTGCCCCGCTTGTCCCGCTCGTCGTTTTCCTTTCTTGATACGCGAAAAACATGCTGATCACCTTGACACGCGAGTGTCTTCCGCGATGGAGCATAACGAGCTACCTTATATCCGCCAAATCTCTTCACGTAGCATAAAGTCTAATCCAATAGTCTCAACATTGACATGTTGATAAATGAACGACGTGTCATGATTATCGTGTTCATTTTCCTACCCAGGGAGTACTTATTCTTACGTCGACGAATGATGATCTTTTTCGGCTTTATATACCTTACGATTCGACGAGACATCGTTCCTCTTGCGTGAACAATTTAGATTTCCGATGAATCCGCCAACTGCGCGTTAATATGTTGAAGGATGTAGAAAGCCGCCGATGGCTTAATTCACGCCGAGATTCTCAAAGTTTATCGCCTCCGGTGCAAACGTCCTCGCGCCCGGATGATGTCAACAACTTGTAACGGGTTACTCACGAAACCGTACGATTACCTCGTGCGATCTTAGTTGCGTAAGCTTCTTTCACCGAACGATCCATTCGGATTGGTCGATCACCCTTCGATTTGTCCTTGACACGTTCCTCTCGTTGCGAAAATTCTTCCCTATTATAGATGATGACAGTTATTAGTTTGGCGTTATCCGAACGTATTTCCTCTTCTATCGACAATAGCGAGCGAGTAACTCTGGGCAGTCGCGTAAAGAACATTTTCAACTTGCCGCCTGTGATTTTATTAATAAGAAATTCGAGAAATTTGTTTAGCCGAAGCGAAAACGGCTACCAGCGACCGCGACGATGTCGAACGGATGGCAACTGAGCGTAAACAGGCAGCGTCGTCGAATCGCTGCCGCGCGTAACTCGACGAGGCGCTGTTAAATGTGACAATTCGTTGATAAAGTAATCACTACTACGCACGGTCCCAGCGTTCTACAGTCGGAGCCTATTTTAGACAGGGCCGTCCAAGTGCCATTATCTGCGACGGTGAATTCAAAGCTATTCGCGCGACTCGGCCGCTCGGGTGACAGGCCGAGTCGCGGTTGCACCATCACGGTTTTTTCATCGTCTCGCGATCGCGAGCTCGCAGATTTTCGCGTGTCCTGCCATCGCTGATTATCATCGTTGTCACATCGAATTTCTTGCGCCTTCCGTTCGATTTGTTCGCTCGGATAAGCGTCTTGTCCGTTTCCCAACCGATCGGACGTCGAGTCCAGTCCTCGTGCGCGTATCGCGAAATCCTTGAAGTTCGCATGGCGAAGTAGCGCAAAATCGAAAGGACGAAAATCTGCAAGGTCGCGTCCGAGCGACGAAAGACATCTAGAGGCGGCCCTGGCTCTTAAGTCTGACGTATGATGCCGTCAAGTGAGTAATGCTCGCAATTCCACAGCGATGCTTATAAAATATTCGATGCAGAGCTGTCACCGGCACCTCTCCCTCTCTCTCTCTCTTTCTCTCTCTTTGCCTCCTCTCTTTCCCACTCTCTGTCTTGATATCCGACCGACGAGGGTGCGTCTGTGGTCGTCATTACTCAAGAGCCATCCTCGTCGGCCATCATGGCGGCTCTGCTTGCGGCACGCGAGAGGTATGATTCTTTCGCGGTGACCAACTGGTTATTCGGTACGATCGGTGTTGCCGATTGACAAAAGCCTACTAATACATTGCAATAAATCGTCTATTGGCAGGTAATTACCACAAAGGTATTTTACTTCGTTGTATTCTCGCTCCGCTGAACCGCTACTCGAGAATTACGGATTTTCACAAGTAGCAGCCATGGAACTATAGTTAATGATTTCTATTCCGCGTTTGGTACATAAAACAACTTTCGATTTTTTTCTCGCAGCTATCGAATTTAATGGACAGAAACGATTTCTCCTGTTACACTTTTCCATCGGAGCGACGTAATCACTTTTAGGTCACCAGTGTATTATTTATTTGCTCGTTTGCCTTGCAGATGATTCTTATTTCATTGTTCATTGATAACAATTTAACTAGATTACTCTCTTCGTCAACATGTTATACATTATTATATATTTTAATGTTGTGATAATGCAAAAATGTAGCTAAAACACGAAAGGCATTTAAATTAGAACGAAGGAAATATCATAATAGTATTACAACTATAATATTTTTAATAGCTGATTAAATTACTCATATACCAATATATTTAATTTGTGTAAGTGTTTAATTATTATTCAAGAAATATAATCTCGATTAATACAATAATTAATAAGCAAATTATCATTAAAATAAATAAGCAATACGAATTGTTTGTTCAGTAATAGTTTATTCTCAATACAAATTATTTATTGTTCGTCAAAAGTAATTTAAAAAATTTGAGATTATTTATTTATCAATCATTTTATTTCAATAAATTTTTACAAATATTTTAAAAACGGAGCATTTTGTTCACAATAATTTTTCATTCACTTCAACAGTTTATTTGGAAGTCGTTTTGCTTGATTCAATTAATTTCGATCGTATATAGAATGCGTATTACATCTTCAATCTTTGGGTGCATCCATACTTGAATTAATGTACAACAAGTACTTCGTAATCCTTGAACGACAATTCCTCGCCTTCGTACGGAATGTATAAGCATCCGTGACTTGGTTGTACCTAAGAAATTATTTTTTTTAATATAATGTGATCATATATATATCATGTAATCATCTGTTAAAATATATCAAAGACGAGCGAAGATAGTGAATGTTTAGTTAATGAAAATGTGAATTTAACGCACGTATTCAAATTTAACTAAATAATATGTAAGCAAAACAATTGTACTAATAATAGGTCTTCTTCAGTTGTATAAATAGATATTATTCTGCGAAAACAATTAAGAGGAAAATTGAAAAATTGGAATCATTATAGACGATTAACTAAACATATATATATGTCTATAACGACTTCGATTTTCCTATTTTTATTCTATTATTTTCACGGAATAGTATCTATTTATACATCTGAAGAAGACTTAATATACAACTGAAATTTGTCTCGCCTATATTTTGTCAATTTTAAATTAACATATTAAATTTTTATTATCTATATCTTTATATTTTTATTAATTGCCCTCACAGAAATCTAATTTAATGTGCCCATTAATATTAAATTATCTTAATATTAAAAAATAATAATTAATTATTTATTTTATAAGTATTAAAACTACTATTTTTAATGTTTTAGTACTTAAAGTAAAATCATTAATATCCATTGTTTTTGCTCGTCTTTGTCCCATTCTAACACATTATTATATTTTATTTTTACACTGACGAGCAAAATATTAATTTTAGTTTCTAATGTATATTTTGAACAGCTGGATTATATCTTGTCTAATAGTAAAAATAAGGCCGCGCAAGATAAAAGTGAGTTTTGCTTGCTGAATACAGAGTACAAATTGAAGAATGTTTTAGCAAATCGAGCATGCTTCGATCAAGTTGCTATTCCATATTTTATGCTTATCATTACTGTCGAACCCTGAGATTAATATCTGCCGAAAAGACCGACCTTGCCAATTGTTTGAGATCCACTATGGAGGGCACGGCCAACGTACAGAGGTTCTCCATCCGCAGTTTGACCTGCGATTATTGCATCCTCTGGTACCTCACCGTTGCTGCAGAACTCCCATGCAAATTCCCCTTGGACAAGGACCTGACAAAATCGTAATATCATTCTATGGTATAATTAATTAATTGCTTATAAATATGTGATCGACAGTTAATTTGGACACGTTTTTTCGTTCTTATCATTATTCTTTGATCAAACATTATATATCAGATAACGAAATATAATATAATAATCTCATTCGAATCTTTGAGCCACCTATACCGAATCATATCTTTATCAGATCAATAGCTACTTCCGACAAAAATTTGATATCTCAAGATCATCTTGAGTCTAATAAAATTGATATGATTAATTTTAATAAATCTTGTATTGTGATTGTTATTTCATGTACTTATTTACGGAGCATTATATAAGTTACGAAAATGATGTAACCGTTTTTAATCATTGTTGGAATTAAAGGAAATTGTTGTTGGTTTCTTAGATGAGTTTAAAACCAATGAGTTCGTACAATTTTTAATGCAGCAAATTGGTGACAATCACTTCTGTGAAAAAAACTTTGATTAAAGCTAATCTATAATTTTTGTATTAAAAATGCGATAGAATATATTTAATATATTATACTTTATGATTGATTTTGAGCGACTTTACGAGTGTCCTGATAAGACGATCAACCAATACAAAGCTTAGCATGATACTCGTAAGTGATCAGGTTTCTCGTAACATAGAAAAAAATTCGTCTGGTTTATTTGCACTCACCTCGAAATTGTCTTTGGGAT